TTGAATCTATTGCGGCAGTTGTATCGCCAACAACATATGCAGGAATAACTACAGTTATCCTGCGCTGATACCTGTCGGATATAATCCAACGCCTGTCGCGGTATTAGCCAGGGGAGTAATTGTTTTCTGATAGGTGTTGTTCCATTAACCTACAATGTAGGGAGTTGAGACTGGCCTGAACGAATTGTTCTTTTAGATGATTTCATAAAAATTGAGTTCATATTTGTTTGGTAGAACCAAAAGCGATGCCAATGACAAGTTATGTTTCCAATTAAACCAGTTTCAGCGTTCTCTTCTGCAAGTCAACAGCTTCATTTTTTTCCAGACCAGTTATGCCAGGAATCTAGACCAGAGATAAATTTTCCGAGTTCACAGACATGATTGTTGAAAGAACGGAACCTTGAGTGAACCAAGAGTTTTCAGCTTCAACTTGGTTCTGGTGAACGGAAAAGTGATTGTTTTGGATTCTTGAAGTGATGTTGGGTCGATTATATGATATGACTGATTCGGAGATATCAGCTTCGTAATAAAGAAGTTTTCTGTGAGAAGAAGGAGGTAAATATTTCACCTCCCACCAGATTGATAGAAAATATATTTCTAATACTCAGTTTTATTACAGGAAATGTTTCTATTCTTCAAAACTCCATATTGTTCAATAAAATTGAGTTAGAGTTAGTCAATTGATGGATGTAGTCGTTCCTATGTGGTAGGAGATCATCATGAAAAATGAGAAATGAAACTTTCTGGGTTTTTTTTAACACTTTCATTTGTAACTGATGTTACTGCAGTTCCATGAAGACATTTTCACACTGATACAATAAACTGAAAATTAATTGATGATATTAGCCCGTACATATCTAAACACCTATTACCTTCAGTGGTGGTGTAGTTGAAAATGTCCTTATACGACGAAACTGCAGTAACGTTAGTTACAAATGAAAGTGGTAAAATAGAAATTTGAATTTCTGATTTTTCAATTTGAGTTAGTCAGTACTTTGATTCTTGAATTAAAAAATGTTTCACATATTTTTTTTATCGAAATATCAGGAACTGATAATTTTGGAGAATATGTTGCCTGAATAACAAAACGATTATCTGAATCTGAAACTGTATATTAAAAAAACCTCCAAGAAACATGTAGGTGAGATACACGCACTCATCAATACAGCATATCTGCAAGAATCTTTTGGGGAAAAAATGAAGGGAATTCAGCGAAAAGGTGTTTTCTGTTAAAATATCAGGAATAATGAGAAATCAGTATCGGGAAATGGGAAAACATACTCAACAGTCCGTAATAACAGGCGGTTCTTGATGGCTTCATTACCTGAATTTTGTTTGCTTGTGACAATGTGGGTACGCTGATCTGAAAACCAACAAGTGGACTAGGCCACTTTGGTCATTCAATAAGTTACATCCGCAATGCTTATGTTTATGAATTTCCAAGGATTCCAAATGATTGAGTTTTTAACCTTTGCCTGCATAGTGCAAAATTTCGGTGTCGCTGGGATATTGTGGTTGCATTCTGGGAAATGGTTTGAAATGTGGGATAATGTGGCCGAAATTTCTCAAAACGGTATGCTGAACATGAACGGTCCTTCAGACTAGGCAACTCGACGTTTTCAAATCATTTCTGGTAATGCAACCCACAAGTTCCGACTCTAAACGATACAAAATTTTGCCCTAATGGAAGTAAGGGTTGGAAACTCAATTATTTGGAATCCTTGGATATTCATAAAAATACGCATTGCGGATGTAACCTACTGAATGACCAAACTGACCTGGTCTGTTCGCCGATTGGTTTTCAGGTTAGCGTACACACATTTCGCAGGTAACAAAGTAATTAAGGACTGTCTGTTATCACCGACTGGGTTGTATAGATATATAAGGCTGTAAATTATTTCAGTTTATTGTAATCGTTTGAAAATTTTCCTGTAGGACGAAACTGCAGTAACGTTAGTTACAAATACAAGCAGAAAATTGAAATAACGAACTAATTCGGTTTTAGTGTCGGTAAATTGGATGAAATCCGAAGATGAAGGCTGAAAGAACGAGAGAGAATCAAGAGGAAGATAATTATCTGAAAAAGGTTCGAAATTTGTTGAAATGAATTGGATGTAAATAGTAAAAAAATAGATGGACAAATGCCGGGAAGCTCTTTCTAAAAAAGTTAATTCATAGTTATTCGAGAATAAAGAAAAAGTACAGGACCTGTTGAAAACTCTGTTGGAGTAACCAGGAAAGAATATCAACTGTACTTTCTCATGAAACACGAACATGGAATATTAAATGATGAATAAAATACAATTTCGTGAGTTTTGTTCAATGAATAAACTGTGTTAGCAAAATTTCAGTTGAGCCACTGAATGTAGTAAGACTTTTTTTACTCATAATGTCCAGTAATCATAAAATCGGAAGTAAAACTGATATCGTTTCAAGTATAAAGATACTTGTGATGCACTTGAACTTTTGGTGTAGTAATGTCCGAACAATTATTTTTAACATCTTGACACCCTGATTGGCCTAAATTAATTAAACATGTTTACTTGAGTAAACATAATAATATTATCAATAACGATGGTGGACCAATAATTAATATTATACTATTTAGCTTGTTGAAATGATATTTTATTATCAGACTTAAGGCAATATTGTATGTAATTTAGATCAAGTATGAAGTTACCTAAAAAACAAAGTATAGGAAGGTTTGCTACTAGAAAATTTCTAATTGGTCGAATTGAGGCGTTTTTTTTTCATATAACAAAAATTTGCTTGTTTCAGCCTTGATAAATCTCTTCTTAATTTTAGAAATTCAGGTCCGTGTCAAGGTGATGGCATCTTATCGTTTCCACGTGAATTTATTGAATTGAAGTTGTGAAATCACAGTATGTTTGTTACTTTTACTCCTTTGCATAAACATTGTTCGAGTCACAATGAAATATCATGATATCTACTTCATTCGTAATATAAACAGGTCCCCTAACTGTGCAATAATGGATCGTTAATAATATTTAATTCATAATCTATTCCATTTATGTAGCTGCTCGCATATGCATAACCGGGTTATATTTAACAACTCAACAATATTGTTAGCATATTGGGGATATCATCTGTCAGGAGCAGAGTTCGTGCTGAATTGATAATTTCGCAAAATATCGAACAAGTACAACGTTCTGAATTTGTTCAAGCTTCTCTTTAATATTTCTCCGTTGATATAATTAATTATGACCTGACTACAAGATTAAGGATATTATCGACGCTCCATTAGTTAAATTATCTCCAGGATTGGATGAAATTAACTAATCACAATAAACTTAAGACAAACCGGAGGTGATAAACCGACGCTCAATCAAAATTGTCCATAGTTTCCAGTTCCATCATGTAAGGACTCAATCCCAATAAAATAGCGATAAATAACTACTGAAGACTGTAGCACGCATCTATAAAGACATATACAGTAAGTGGCGTTTTTTCGAATGGAATAAATTCGTGATAATGAATTTTATAAAATCGTTGATCATGAAAGGTAAAAATAGACCCTCTGGCGTTAAATAAATGATAAAAGAGCTGTTCCCAAGCGCCAGAACGGTAGCATTCTTCTCTACGCGAGTTTCACCCAACAAGTTGGCGTCTTCATAATATGGATTCGACTAACTCCTAATTCCGAATTCTGAATTTTTCAGGTAAGAAGGTTTACTTTCGGGTAGAAATTCGCGAAAAATTCTTTCGTGAAAGAAATCGTCAGTTTAACAGAACTATTCGTATAAATGTCAACAGTGGGTCGTTTGAAATGCTGGAATAGGCCCTTTGTCACTATTCAAAATGATCATGCCACACTTTGGTATTTTTAGACTGTACTGTGGAAACTGTGGCAAAAAATATATCGGTCAGACTTAGCGAGCTATTTACACTCGTTTTGAAGAACACTCAGCAGATATATGATTTCGTAGACCAGAAAAATTCAGTGTTGCTCAAACGCCTTGTAGAATAGCAATAGAATTCATTAAAACTGTCTAACATTGTTGAGATCGGTGGTTAAAAATTTTTGGACGTTTTCGAAAGTCTTGAAATATCAAAGTGTGGCATGAGAACTATGAATAGTGTAAAAGGTCCCATTCCAAACAGCCTTTTTTTTACCTTTATATGGATAGTTTGGTTGAAATTTGCAAAAACCCTCTCACATTTGTACAGAGTCTACCAACAGAGACTTACAAACTTTGACAATTGATAACGGTGATCTTGTTGGAGTCAGATTTGTCAAATTAGTTGACATTCATAAAGTTTATTTTGTCAAATCACCATGGAAGGATATAGCATTCAACAACACGTGCAAATACTAAAATTGTTCTATCAAAATGAGTGTTCTGTTGGGGCAACGTAACGCGCGCTTTGCTCATTTTACGGGAAGTGGATTGAGACAAAATGATATGTGAAGTCTCTCTTTCTACGAATTATTGTACATCTCAACATGATCGAATTACTCTACACATATTCCGAAACAAAATGAAAGTCGAAAATAGAAACGTCTCAAAATGTAATTTCCTTTCAAAAATTAAAAGCATTCACAAATCTGTGCTTTTATAAAACGTTATCTTTATAGTTGTATCGCCAGGCTCTAACCCCATTTCACAGACGAAAGAAAATGGAACCAATCCCGTTTTATAACATCGAATCCCTCTCAATACCAAACGTTCGCCATTTTAATACGTTTCAATTCATCGTAATTTTTATTCAGTTAATGCTTCGCAAAAGGATGTCTATATTTTTGACAACCCCACTTGTTTGTTCATCGAATGGTTTAATAATCAAAGTGATACTTGATTTAACTCAGAATGCTTTGCAATTAGGGTCTGAAAAGAGGGGAAACCGCATTATACCTCATTCACGTAAACTTCCATCCGAATAAATACGTTTCAGAAAGTGAAAGAAGGTTTTTACCACAAGAAGATTATACCTAGGGTTCGACCTTTAGAGGTTTTCAGTCAATAAAAGAAATAACTCACCGTTTTATTTCCCAAATTTCTTACTCGGCAACTGAGATAAGCTGATTTTCCAACAAGAGCTGTTACATTGCGTGGCGTCATTGCATCAAAGTAGGGTTCAAAACGATTTTGTGAAATGACAGGTGGTCCCATAGGCAGAGGAGGAAGCGTTTCACTTTCAGGAAGAGAGTTGAATCCTGTGCCAGAAGTCGCCATTCCTCCCCTCACTAACAGCAAACCTGAAAAGAAGTAAGAAATTAGATTCCCAGCTAAAAACGATGCAGATGAATTCGTACTAAATGAATTTTATTTATTTGCTCGTCTCGCTTTTCCTCTCGCAACATCCACTTCTATCTTGACTCTCACTTATTTGAAATTCCTTTGAGATGTACACAAACATTATGTTGTACGAGTCCAGAGTTAGTTCGATACGATGTTTTCACGAACATCAGCTTGAGTTTACACTAAGTGAAACTAGATTCTTTCCTTCTCTCTGTTAACGGCAGTTTATTTGAAATGGGGAGATCGTTTCAAAATGAGCTTGGAATGTGTAGCAGGTAATAGAGATTAGGAATGAAAATATCCTTTCAATTCCTAGGAAATATAAGGAGTACGGAAACGGTAACCTTCCGGTAAATATTGTTTTGAAAAGCATTGCTCATATGATGGTTTTCGAGGGACATCTGCAGACAGATGAAAGATGTTATGAACGATAACGCTCTTATTCAAATGATTATATACAAATGTATAAGAAAATAAATATTTGGAAATGGAATCTCGAAGAATTCGTCTCTTCCAACGTATATGTATCTCTTTTCGATACATTCTTCAGACTTATTTTGATCATAGAAGGAATTTATGAATTGTAATGAAAAGAGAAATGAAAATTTCTATGTTTTTTACCACTGTATATTGTATTATATTATATATTATATTGTATAAGTTTGAAAATGTCCGTATAGGACGAAACTGCAGTAACGTTAGTTACAAATAAAAGTGGTAAAAAACATAGAAATTTTCATTTCTCTTTCCATTATGATTTCCTACCATGTAGTAACGGCTACCTCCATCAATTTATTGATTTATGAATTATCCATATTGACCATCATCTTAGTGGCGCATGTCATGGAATATCATATATACATTTTGTTGTGTTTGAAATTTGAAGTAGGATATTGATAAAGAAAGAATGTATTTTCAATCAACGAAAATATGTGTTTCTGCTGATGGGTTCAAACCGTTAGAAACATAATACTTCATGTACGTATTATAACGAATTGAAAATCAACAAACATTTGAAGATGAAAGTTATTACTAATTCAAAATGACATAATTTAAAGTTCATTTCAGAGACATCCTTTCACGAATGTGAAAACAACAATTATTTTGATTCCTGATGAAACAGTTCATCATGTATCATGATCGTCAATTGAAATAACTTGTAAAACACTGAACATCATGAGTACATCACATATCACATGATATTTTTCGAACTGGAGAAAATGATTATTGTTTTATTGATGTATAAAGAACATTCAGTGTTATAACAAACATATATGAGTTAATATAAGAAGATAGGACTTATCATCAATCCAAAATAACGTTATTTCGAGGCCATTTCGAAAAATTCAAAAAAGAACAAAAATTTTGATTTCTTATTAAACAGGTTATTCGTTATGTGTCTATGATCGTCATCTGAAAGATGTTTATTTTCACATCATTTTTGTGCTTTAAATATTCAGGAATACATATCGCATCATTAACACATCGTATATGGAACCATCTCCTTTGAGTTGATGAATATTTGATGATGAAAGTATTCAGTGATATTGAATATTACTATCATTGAAGTCTACGGTGAAAACCAACATTTGATGAATCAATTGATAACCTATACTATCTCACCAAGTCATATACTTTACACCTATAATGTAACGTTTCAATTTGATTTCTATGCTATTTCGTACCCGTGACACTTTGACACGCTTTCATATATCCTCATATATAATGAGGATTTCCTCATTATCCAATCGGCAAGAATGTTTTGCATATATCGGAATTCAGAAAGCTCTTCCTATATTTGACAAGGTCGTAGGTCAAGTCGCAGTGGAGTTTATTTTTCAAATAATGTCTATCAGTTGCTCGCATTACAAGGTTGTTTATGATGCCAATATAAGAGGAAGGATTGGTGGTGACATGAGTAAATGACATGTAACGCAGCAATATATTTTTTCTCCATTGTGCATACTTTTATGATGTTAATATGACACTTTTTACCATATTCAAAATTTCCTTCACATTTTGTATGTATTTTTCGAAACGTATATATGAATCAGGTTATACGACATTTATACGACGCCAGAAATTGGAACTTCAAAATTTTGATTTATCTTCAATGCATACAGAAAAATTTTTCACTGGGATATTTGAAATTCTCTTTGTGAAAATATATCAAAAAAATATTTTTAGGCGAGATCAGTTTTTGCGAATATGAAATTATTTTGAATAAATGTCATTCTCTGGAGTTGTTTTTTAAAAAGGGCCGTTTTCGAATAATTATGCTTTAGAAAAAGTATTATCGGAACTTTTGTCAAATGAATATTCAAGGAATTTCCTTCAGATAACAACTGGAAAGATTCTAATAATGATACATATTTCTGTAATAGAGTTACCTATGAAATATTGAAACCATTATTATAATCACATTGAAAAACTCGATTCAATATTTTTGTAAGCCAAACATCCCATCTGCTGATGACGTATGTATTAAAAAAATTATCCAGTAACGATAACCATGACAACAATTTTATAATTTTCACACTATACTTTTGAATATTACTGGAGTTCTATCCTAACATCAAACCATTATTATAACACTCCGACATATGATGCTTCCTCTTGAAGATGATCACTTGGTCATCGAAACACGTGTCGGGGTGTTAAAATAACGGTTTGATGTTGGGAAAAAACTCTAGTAATATATATTACTACACCAAAGGTTCCAAACAGTGCATCACAAGTACTATACTTATTATCAGAAATAGCGTCAATAATTTTCATCAAGTAACGGGTCAGTGTATTCATAATTTTGGATCAATATTTACAAACTCTCAGACTCCGGGGGAATTATTGAACTAACTATTATTGATACAGTGATAAATTTTGATGTTTTACTATCACACATAGTATATTCAAATAGAGAACCCTAACTCAATAAAATATATACTGTAGATTTCTTAATGGTATATTTCGTAATCATGATTATTCATAATATCATCAACACACGAACATCTCAAACCTATACGATTGAACAATTGAAAATGAACTAGTCTTGAACCTTGCTAACAGCATCAAGTAAATATTGAAGCGCTCGTTTTGACGAGTCTTTTTTTGAGATAAAATCATGCAGTTGAAACGTCTGAAAATAACACTGATTAAAATCTACTATTCACTATTTTATCGTCATTCAACTTTTTCAATATCATTCTCTAGAAATATTCGATATCATCTAAGAAAATTTTCATCAAGAGAAAATTTCAAATATAGCTCATGTTCAATAAAAGCTGCGAATCTGTTTTCAGCACTATTTTCAATACACTTACTGAGGATATACCAGACTTTGGAATGAATCACAAAAAACTTCATAAATCACATATCATTATATATATTATTATATCATATATTATTATATATTATTATNTTCATCTTCATTATATCTAATCAATTACCACGAACCCACGCGAATAAAAATGGTTTCAGACTCAGGAAGCAAAATTTATAAGTTTTTTACGTGAAGTTGGACAATATTTGGTGAAAAAGCATCGGTAATTAGAATTCATGAGAAAATTCCTTCACACAATTAGTATAAATCTACCTATCATGCCTCACATCTACAAAGAAAATACCATAAAAGATACAGTTCTGCAGTGTCTTCGTTCACTCCTTTCATCACATCATCATATTTTTTCCTTATCTGAAAGAATATTTTCTGTTCCAAATTATAGTTATATTGAATTGGTATGATAGATCGAATACAACTTCAGATTTATGGAGACATAATACATTGAAGTAAAAGTTTTTCTCGAACTGTTTGAAAGAAATTTTTTAAACGAATGAAATATTTAGCCCCTCTTCATGATCTTTGAACTGCCCTGCATATCAAGACCGCAATGGTAATTATTTTTATTTTTATGTAAAAGAAAGAGAAAATCTCCATCATCAGCATCATCTGGATAGGTTTTAATTGAATCGCACGTGATTGTATTACGAAATAATTTTCGTCAGACGTCAGAACTGTGGCAACACTTTTTCGAACGCATGTTTCACCTAACAACTGACAAGGAGAACTTCCACACTGAACTCCAATACGTTGGTGACTTCCTAATGTCTATTTGAAACTGAATAAAAGTGGTGAATAAATGAATATATTTTGAGAGAAATGAAAATTCATCTTATTGTTTGAAAAGAGTAGTATACCAAGAAAGGTCCTTTTTTCAATAGTCTGTTTGCTTTCAGGTGTGTCTACTCGTATAATGGAAAGTGTCCTCATAATATTAATTCTGAGAAAGGAGTCGGTTACAAACAAACAAACATACAAGTGAAGCTAATAAAAGCGTGTTAAAAAATTAGTTCCAATTCCAAATATACTATTTTACTGTTTCTGGAAGCAAATAATTGTTTGAAGGCAAAAAAATTTTTAATAATGATGTATTGAAGAAATGCACTTCGACGCTACTGATCAGCAATGTGGAATCAATATATCCACCAAACTGTAATATATAGAGGTATCACCACGTCAACATACATATTTCTTTCATACCATCAGCAATATCAGTTTTTTCTGACACGTAAACGTGCAGGTTAGCACATGCCTATAATTTTATTTAGTTTATCCTCGACAGGGAATTTCCACAATATTTTGCCGTGATAGAACATCCCAAGTGGCAAACTTTGGTCCCCGTTTGCTTGATCAAAATTCTTTCACTTTGGCTAGACTACTACAGTGTAAAAAATGAGATGTTTTATTTGAAAGTATACAAGTTTTCATGTATAAATGGGATTTAGTTACTTACGTATGAAGCTGTCTGGAAGTTTAGAATATTACTGTGAAATATAGAATATGTGACATCTGTATCCATGATGCATCCTGATATTTGAAATTTATTCGAGGTGGAATCATAGGAATGAGAAACTACATCACATTCGCTGGAAATTTCGCTAGTTATATGACTAAAATGCA